CAGTTCCGACTCATAGCGACCCTGTACAGGGTTTCTGAGGCTGAACATGAGTCAGCACTCACAGCACGGAATCTCAACAACTTCTTGCCTGAGCTTCTTTAACCCTTTTAAGTCTGAATTCTTTTCTGTGGTTTTTTTTTTTTTTTTAATTATTTTTTCTTATTGAAACCATGCATTTTCAAGAATGGAAGGAATTATACATAGGATGAAAAAACATTTTTTCTTTTGAGGTAATACAAATTTTGGTATAATTCATATGGGGGTCTCTCATGATGGAGTTGGTGAAATGAGGCCTGTTTCTTCAGATTCCACAGTTAGACAGGCCCCCCACCCAAGGGCAACATGTATTAAAACTGGAAGAGCACCTAGAGGTGGATAATGTAGCAGGCACTATATGTCCTTTGGGGCATGAAACGGCTAAGACTTTTGCACAGAGGAAAATATGTTCACTATGGACTTCTGGGATGGCGCTGTAGGATCAGCACTGGACTGCAAACTCACAAGGTTGGCAGTTCAAATCTACCAGCTGCTCCTCGGAAACCCTATACAGGGGAGTGATGAGTACACACCAACTCCATGGCACTTAACGCAAACATACACACACACTAGACTACAGACCACAAGGTGGGCAGTTCAAACTCATTAGCTGCTTCTCGGAAACCCTGTGCAGGGCCGCTATGAATAGAAACCGACTTGATGGCACTTCACACACATACACATGCATACACACATAGTCTCCTAGCTTCAGACCACTGTTAGCAAGCAATGCCTAACCTCTTATCACCTTCAATAAAGTGTAGAGGAAAGCTTTCTGACTAGTATTTCTAATTTGAGTAAATGAACGTGACAAGGATAGGAACATTTGCTGTTGATCAGTAATCAAGGTTCCAGGGAGCCCAGCCCCTCCCCTTGAGGATACTTACAGCTGCCCATCGGCCATTCCTCATCTCTGGGTATTCTTTCTATAAATCATACAGAATAGAAGTAATAGCAAATGTTTAAGTGCATTTTGATCTGCACCTTAGCTAGGCAGGATATGAAAGAGTATTCTCAATGCCATAGAGAGCCCTGGTAATAAAGTATTTAAGCCCTTAGCTGCTAACTGAAAGTCGGTGGTTCAAACCCACCAGCAGCTCCGAGGTAGAAAGATGTGGCAACCTGCTTCTGTATCCTTGAAGGAAACCTCACTGGACACTTGTATTCTCTTTTATAGGGTGACTAAGAAAATAGGGTCACTAGGAGTATATCAACTCACTGGCAATGGGTATATTTAATGCCAGTCAATAATAAGACTGTGCTAATTTAAGGGGCTCTGGTAGTGTAGTAGTTATGAATCAGGCTGTGAACCTTAAGGTCAGCAGTTACAAACTACCAGTTGTTCTGTGGGACAAAGATGAGGCTTTCTGCTCCCGTAAATATTTACAGCCTCAGAAACCCTGTACAGGGTCGCTATGCGTCGGAGCCGACTCCACGATACTTAACCACCACCACCACCAATTTCAGATTTGTTATGGTGAACTAGTCTGAAATACACCTTAGTGCCATTCTGAAGAGAAACTTGATAGTGTAGATTTTCCTCCAGACAATAGTCATAATGATGGCCGACGTCCATGTAGCACATGCTATGTGCCAACAGTCACCCCTATCTAGGGTTGTTATGAGTCAGAACCAAATCAACTGCACTTAACAACAACAACATTTGTTTACCAAGAGCTCTGCTGTCGGATCATCAGTCTGACATCTATAGGAAATCTCTGGAGGGTGTCAATGGATAATGCACTCAAGCTGTTTCAGAAAGGTGTAGATTCCATCCACCCAGAGGTACTTTAAAAGAAGTCCTGGCGATCTAGAAAAGGGCAGTCACTGATAAGTTTGATGTTGTCCTTGTTGTTGTTAGGTGCCATCGAGTTGGTACCGACTCATAGTGACCTTATGCACAGCAGAACGAAACACTGCCCGATCCTGGGCCAACCTCACTACTGTTGCCACACTTGAGCCCATTGATGCTGCCACTTTGCCAATCCATCTCGCTGGGGGTCTTCCGCTTGTTCTCTGACCCTCCGCCCTACTAAACATGATATCCTTCTCCAGAGACTGGTCCCTCCTGACTATGTGAGAAGAATGAGAGACGACGTTTGCCATTCTGGCCTCCAGGGGGCGCTCTGGCTGCACTTCTCCCTCCGGAGCACTATTTCGCTTTGATGCCTGTGGTGATGCCTTCCATCAGAAGCAAGTCCAGGACAATTGGTATTGGTAATATTTATGGGGTATGCATTATGTACCCTGCGGAGCCCTAGCAGTGTAGTGGATTACACGTCGAATTGCTAACCACAAGATGAGCCGTTCAAATCTACCAGCTGCTGCAAGGGAGCTAGATGAAGCTTTCCGCTCCTATAAAGATTTACAGCCTCAGAAAC